CACACAGCACAGCCGAGGTGAGATGCTGAGTGTGCCAGCCGTGTGGTGACCACAGCTCAGGGGACAGGGTGGCCAGCTGCCCACCACCACAGCAGCTGCGTCCTCTGAGCGAGGATCCACTGAGAAGGGCAAGAGCCAAACGAGGACTCCAGAGCTTGTCCATCCTGGGGCTCTGTTCTGCCTGCACACAGCCAATTACCGCTAATTGGCTTGGCAGTTTTGCATTGCAGATGCTCAGAGCAGGGTCCGAGCCAATGGTTCTTGTCAAGCCCTCCCAGGAGCCTCGCCCTCCCTGCCCCGTCCTCACCGCTCCGTGTCTGCCACCTCCAGCCTCTTGTCTCGCGCTTTCCTGCGACGCTGCCGACAGATGATCACAGCTGTCACCACGATGATCATCAGGACAGAGGCAGATCCGATGGCCACGGCCAGGAAATGGATTTCTGAGAAACTCACTGCACGGGGAGAGACAGAGGAATGGAGCAGAGGGACACACAGGAGGGAGGAGGCTGGGATCCTGTATCTGTGAATAAAACCTGTCCTCGGGCTCCTCTTTTTCCCTCATGCCTTCTACTGACAGCCCCTTTTGTCCCATAATTTTCCCAGATGTGCAAGAGGGTCACTCTGGTTAAATCCACACAGCTCTGGGGGGTTTCTTGGCCTCTCACCTTTCTGCACAACCCGGAGTCGCACCTCCCCGATGGTGCCATAGACATCTGGCCAGTTTGTCACCTGGCAGGTGAAGGTCCCGTTGTCACTGGGCTGCAGGTTCCAGATGATGATGGAAACATCGTTCCGCTCGATGTTCCCATCCCAGGTGACTCGCTCTTTAAACCTTCCCGAGGGGGGCTTGTAGGGCTCCTTCAGGTAGTAAAACACCTATAAAAATCACAGAAACATCAAATGGCCTGGGCTGGAAGGCACCTGGAACATTCCTGAAGTCCTGTCAGGTTCAGGATGTCACCTAAGACAGGGCTCGGCTGCGGTGTCAGCAGATCCAGCTTCGGAAAGCCACAAACATTTTAACCCTGATCACCCAAAACTAAACACGAGCGTGTTTTTTAGGCAGGGATTATAAACAAAACGTGGATTAATCACTGCGAGTGACGAAGATCCAAAGGGACTGGTGGGTTTTGGGTGTGTCTGTACCCAGTCACTGCTGGGGGCTGGGGCAGGGGGTTCCAGCCCTGGAACGGAGCACGGGGATCTCACTCACCGGCTCATGAGCGCTCAGGTCCTCGGGCTGGAAGTTCCAGCTCACGGAGAGCTGCTGGCTCACGGGGCTGCTGCTGGAAAAAGTGCATTTCAGCCGCTGGTTGGTCCCGTTCACGGCCACCACCTCCTTGGCGGTGTGAACCTCCACGGCTGCCGCCAGCCACAGCGCTGCGGGGCAAACACAGGGGGGAAATCACTGCCCTTATCAGCCTGAGCTCCCGGGAGCATTACTGAGCTGGCAAGGGATAACCTGAGTGTCCCAGGCACATTCCAGTGGGCTGCTACTGCAGATTTATACAGAAAAACCCTTCCAAACGGGACTGAAACCCACCCAGAAATTGCTGTTTCCCATGCTGGAACTTCCCTTTAAACACCTTCTACTCAACCTCGTGTGCACTATGATGAAACTGCTCTCACTGAAATATCCAGAGCCAGTTTTAGAGGCTTCATAGCCCAGCTGGGCAGCTGCAGGTAAATTTAGGTTGAAGAATTGCAGAGGAAATCCTCAAGGTAAATGTGGATTTGTTTTTCCAAGAAACATCCCCACAACCACCATGGCTGCTGCATTAAAAATAACTGAGCATTGCTCACTCGATGCTCCCCTGGAAGAGGCACAACCAGCAGGAGGGAGAGCAAGGAAATGAGAGGAGGAAAGTGAAAAATAAGAAAAGTTAATGGTTTTCTGGTGAAGGAAATCGAAAATATCCATATCCTGTCACAGGAAGTTAACTCAGCCCAGTGTGATTCACGAAAAAAAAAAAAAAAAGCAAGCTTATCTAGGGTTGTAAAATATAACTTCATAATAAAGAAGTATTTGTAAATAATTTATGACTAAATACTTCCTTCCACATAATTCATTATCTCAAAGGGAAAAATACTTGGAATGCCAAAACATGGAAGGTATTCACACGTGGAAAACCTCACCGGCAGGGACCACGTGGCTCAAACACGGATTCGCTGCCAAATCTTTTCATTTTAAACTCCTTGAAAAGAACTAAGCGAGAAATAAGAGTAAAATACTTTTTTATTTTTTTTTTTTCCCCCAAGGCAGATTACATCCGTGTGCTGATGCATTTGGGAAAAGGAGGATGTGTTATTCTTAAAATCCAGGTGTTTTGATATAAACCACCGAAAATTCAAGTGGGTTTTTCGTGCCTGGAACCTTTGCCGTGTGAAGGATCTGAAGCCGGGGCAATCCTGGACAATCCCAGACTGTTTAGGAACAAAGGTAGCAAGGAAATTAAAAAAAAAAAAAAAAAAAAAAAAAAAAAGGCTGGGAGTAAAGTTCAGATTCCTGGCAGGAGAGAAAAAGGAAAGGTTGAAACCCGAGCAGAGGAGGAGATCAGAGGAGGAGATGGATGTTCTTCCGCTCCAATACACCAAAACCTGTTGGGGAAGAAACTCAAGCGCTTCGTGCCACTTCCAGCGAGCCCAGCACGGAAAGAAGCGCAGCAAGCACGGGGGGAAATCCTCTGCCCTAGGGCCAGGATCAGGATCAGGGGGTCAGGAGAAGGAGAGGGGACAGGGTTCCTTACCTCTGAGCTGCGCCCCAAGGATGAGCGCAGCGCCCAGCCAGGTGCGGCCGCGCATCGGGGACACCAGGCCGGGGCTGCAAGGACAAATCCGCCCCGGCTTCTCCGGGACCGGCTAAAGGATGAGTTTCTCAAAGTCTTCCCAGCACGACGGGAATGATTCCTTGCCCCCAGCTCTGCCGGCGAGGGAAGGGGAGCGCTCGCCCTGCGCTCCTTGCCAAGGTGCGCCCAGCCCCGCTCACCTCTGCCGTAAATCAGCGAGATTCCCAAGGGAAGGTTAATTTCTTCTCCCTCCCATATTCCCCTGTTCTTTTGTGTTGCAATCATTCCTCCTCCCAGCCGCCACCCGAAACCACTCCCCTCTTGTGGGAGGTAAAAGAACATTTGCCTGGAGGTGTTCATAGGTGGCTCGAAGGAATGAGAGCCATTCTCTCGACACAAAACCTGCAAACGATCCGAAAAAGAGCAGCCCAAAGCTGACCGGCGGTGGCCGCAGAGCGGGCACTCATCCAGAGGATGGGAACGTCCCACCAAACACAGACACCTACCCCACAATGATTGGAACGTTCCTCGGTTGCAGCCGAGGATTGGGAGCCTGGAGCTTGGGAAGTTTTTGGGAGAATCAAGCGGAAAATGGGGAAACACCAGCGTGCTCCACAAGGGAAATTCCGTGGGACACTCAATAACCGGCACCTGGAAGTTGGGAGAGTGCGAGACCCATGGGTGCCTGTGTGATGGCAGAATGAGGATGTTGGCATTCGAGGGCCATAAATCCGTGCCCGTGGCAGTGTTTGTGTTCGGTTCATGATCCCGTCCCAAGAAGTCACCCCAGGTTACCGGTCCCACTTGCGGCTGGTGCCGATTTCCTCCGCGGGGGTGCAAGGGGAGGGTGTCCGAGCCCCAGTTTGTTTGGGGAGCTCTCTTCAGCCATTTGGAGATGGAAAAACAGCACTGAGGCTGCCAGCTGCCTGGATTGTCCCCAGAACAGGACACGGAATCCTGTGTGTGCTGCCACATCCCTGCTAGCAGCTCCGGGACACCAAGGAGCTCCATTTCCCTGGGAGTGATTTGGGCCCGTGTTAGCCCTTCATCACCTCATCTCCACAGATTTCCTCTCACTTACTATTCCAACATATTTTGTTCCCTTGCCACAGTGAATATTTGTCACTCTGGGGCTTTGTTAAGGTTGTGTTTAAAATTTATCAGCCAATTTGCTGTAACTTCCTAATCCTGTTTCTGCCCAGGGCTGGGAGCAGCCCCTGTTCCCACCTTTGCCTGCAGACTTTTGCTAACCTTCATCTTCTTTCAAAACACGTGGACTCCCAGCTTTTAAGAGAAGAACACGTCCCTGGCACCTCACCAGCAACCCAAACTCCGTGACGTTCCACTTGGAAACACAAATAAGGAAAAGAAAGCCCTGACGGCCAAAGAGAGCACCCCAATAAAAAACGGGGCACAGCATCATTCCCTCTGTGTCCATGGCGAGGGCAGCAGAGCCTGGGGTGCCCTGGCCCGGTGCCACCGGGGGTCAGTCCTGCCCCAAACCCGGCTGGGAGGGACCGGCCCCGGCGTGCGGCGCTGGCCGGGACAGGAGCCCCCTCTAGCGGGGCCAGGCCACTTCCAGGGGAGCGCCCGAAGCTCCCAAAAATGCTGCTGGGATATCTCCGGAGAGCCCGTGGAGAGGGGCTGAGCGCAGGGGATGCGCAGGGAGCGATGGCCTCGGTTCTGCGCCCGTGCAGCGGCTCTGGGTGCTGAGCTCTGGGTGCTGCTCCTGTGTTCCCACCTGCAAGGGACCTGCAGGGAACATGGAGAGGGGCTCTTTGTCAGCAGCTCTGGAACAAGGGGGAATGGGTTCAGCCTGCCAGAGGGCAGGGATGGATGGGATACTGGGAAGGAATTGCTCCTGGGAGGGTGGGGAGCCCTGGCACAGGTGCCCAGAGCCTCTGTGGCTGCCCCTGGATCCCTGGCAGTGCCCAAGGCCAGGCTGGATGGGGCTTGGAGCAGCCCGGGACACTGGAAGGTGTCCATGGCAGGGATGGGATGTGTTTTGTAGTCCCTTCCCACCCAACCCATCCCTGATTCCACATGAAGTCGTTTGCCGCATTTGGAACCTCTCAGACTCTCACTTTGAGAAGCTGTTGGGAAGGTCCTGATGGCAAATCTGATTCCAGCTCGTTTCTCTCTCCTGCTGCTCCCAGGGCAGCTCCAGGAGCTGTCCCGAGCCCTGCAGAGCACAGCAGCCTCCCCTGGCTGGTGGTGACGTCCCATGAAGACATTTTGAACCTCCGCACTTCCTGACCTGGGCTTATTTCGCATGTCTGGGTCTGCCTTGGCTGCTCTGGAAAGAGCGAGTCCCCCAGCCCCACTCGGGTCCGCAGCAATTCTGGGAAAAACAATCCAGAGCCTCTTTCTAGGAAAGCCACCGTGTTCTTTCCTGCCACAGCCACGCTGGTCTGATGTGGTGGAGAGGAGCAGCAGGAGGAACACGAGGATGAGGCTGGAGCAGTCCCTGCCCCTCCTGGGGCTGCTGCTGTGTGCAGGTGAGTCCCCAAACCTCAGGCGAACTGTCAAGGTTCCACACTCTTAATTTTGGTTTTATCCTTTATCTGAGCACTTCTCTTAAAGCGTTTTGCGATCCCGGGTAAATAAGGTGAGGCTTGGCGGGCTCTCAGGGTGTGCTGGCAGCTCCCACCCGAGCTTTGGGATGCCCCGCTGGTTTAGGATGAAGAGCAGAGCACCCAAAAAGGCTCTAAAGGAGCCAGTAATGAGAGATAAGCGTTCGAGGTAATCCACTCAGAGTTGTTACAATAAAACTACAACTGCTCTGCCAAAGTGCTGCAAATAACCATCTTAGTGAAGGTAGAAAATGTGGTTTATCGGTGGCCAGTTCTTTTGTCAGATTTAAATTCATCTGTGTAAAATAAAAATCATCGGGTCACCTTCTCTCCAGCCAAGTCGGCTGTCTGGGGAATTCAAACCTGCAATCATTAACTTGTGTTACTTTTTGTAAGAAGACAAATGTCTTTAAAGGAAGTCGCAGATCTGATTCACATCTCCTAAAAACTCTTTCTTTAATACTCCAGCTCCAGAGCTTTCCACGGAGCAAGCTGTTTCTTACAAGGCAGAAAATCCACACAGATAAACTGTTTAACAGCATTAAATCAACATCAGGGTCCCACTCTGCAGCGAGTTCTCTTGCAGAGGACAGAGGTTTTTACCAGGGTTTTCCAGCAGTGCTTGCTCCATGACAATAAAGCAGAATTTCGGGTTTTACCTCTTGCAATAACAACCCTTTTTCCAAGCTGGGTCGGAAAATGATTCAGGTTTCCATTCTGCGTTAAACTGTGTTAAAAATGGCCTCCAAGTTCAGAACAACATCCTGTCTCACCAACAGAATATTTCTGATGCCTTCAGCACAAATGTGGGACTAGAAAGATCTCTTTCAAGCAGCTGAGTTCAGAAAGGATGTCCTGGCAGTAGGAAAGGTGTGTGATATCTGAAACTCAATTACTTAATATTTCTTATTCATTTCTTTGCAGTTGGCACCACAGCTCAACAGGGTAAGTGTATTTTTCCACCATCCCTAACTATTTATCATGTTAAAAACCCCAAATATGCCTCAAAAGTGAGGACTAAGAGTCAAACAGAAAGATCTGAATTTTGTAAATATTTCAGGATAGAAATATTCACTGTTCATTTACTGGCAGTAATCTTATTGATTGGAGAAATTGGTCCCTAATTATCAGCAGTGTTGGGCATTTCCAACAAGACCAAGCAGTGAGGCAGTGGTGGGATGATTTTTTAACACTCTTTATTTTCTGTTTTGCAGATGAAGAACTGGAGGGTAAGTGAATTTTACTGTGTTCTGTAGTATTTAGTGGGATGCAAAGACTGTAGATGACTGAAAAAACAGTAGAAATATTTGAGTTTTGCCTTTGGTTTCCTTTCTCATTGGTGTTTCTTCCCAAGAGGAGTTCCTGGTGGAGATTTCTGGCACCACGGTGACAATCACGTGTCCCTTTGAGGACGAGGGCATCCGGTGGGACCTGTCTGGGAGAACAGAGGACACCACGGAGAGGAAGTTTGTTATAAAGGACCATGACAGCACTCCTGCCAACCTGAGCTGCTCCTCGGGTAATAAGAAGCGCCAGCTGTACCTGAATGCCAGAGGTGAGCGCAGAGCCCTGACCCCGCACATGCCAGTGGCAGATTTTGGGAGCTGACACTTGTTTGGCAGTGCTGGGGTGGATGAAGGTGGTGCTGCCAGGGCCATTCCCTCTGTGTGGGCAGTGAAAGAGTCCCAGAGCCGTTTTTTGGCAGAAGGAATCTCCCTTTTCCTCTCAGTTTGCCCTTTTCCCCTTCCTGGCTGCCTGTAGCCCTGTGCCAGCGCTCAGGTGAGCGGGACCTGGGCTCTCCCTGGCTCTGAGCATCTCCCCACCCTCATTCCCTGCAGTGTGTGCCAACTGCGAGGAGCTGGACGCCCTGACCGTGGCAGGGATCATCACTGCAGACCTCCTCACCACCCTGGGGGTGCTGATCCTGGTCTATTACTTCAGCAAAGGCAGGAAGGGACGAGCCAGCTCTGGTGGGGACAGTCGGCCACGAGGTGAGAGCCATTCCAGACATCCCTGCTCCCTGTGCCATCCTCAGGGCACCCAGAAACCCTCCTCCCCATGGCGTGACGGGCATCCTCTGCTCCCCACGAGCTCCCAGTCAGTGTTCCTGCTTCCCCTGTGTGCTCTCCAGGCTGGAGATGTGCAGGGATGGGAGTGGATGCTGTGCCAAAGCCATTTCCCAGGCCCTCGTGCTGGAGCCAACCCTCCAGCTCCTGGCAGCAGCTGGGAATAAATCCATGGGAGTTGCTCCATGGTGTGCCTGGCCCTGGGATCAGCCTGGAGGTCCCTCGTGGCAGGAATCCCCAAGGATTCACCCTCTCTGTGCCTCTCTTTCAGGCCAGAAGATGCAGCGTCCTCCCCCTGTCCCAAACCCGGACTATGAGGTAAGGACTGTCCCTGAGCTTTCCATCCCTGCTGGCTGGGGAGGGATAGCCAGGGCTGGGGCTGATAGCCAGCTCATTTATCCTTGAAGAAACATCCAGCCAAGCTCCAAGATTTCCTGGCAGTGGGGGAAAAAGGGTGGTGAGGATGCAGGCCCTGCTCCTGGTGCTGCCACAGGGATTTCTCTGGGAGCAGAACTGCAGCTCCCTGTGCACTGCCCCTGCTCTCTTGTGCTTTTCTCCACGTACTGTGAGGATTGCTGAACCGAGATCTCTGCTGTTCCCACAGCCCATCCGGAAAGGCCAGCGGGAGCTGTATGCAGGCCTGGGGCCCAGAGGCATCTGAAATTCCCGGGGATGACAGGCTGGAAGCCAGCAGCACTGGGGCCAAACGCTTCTGCCCAGCTTGTTCCCAGCTCTCTGCAGCTCTGCTGAAGCTCTGGCATTTTGGGATAAGCCAGGTGGCCACCGGACAGGGATGTGTTTGGGTTTGCCATCAGGGAACAGAAATGAGCACACTGGCAAGAGATTTCCGTCTCATTAAATGACTGCAGGCTCACTGGTGGCTCCTGGTCTCCTTTTCCCCTCACACTTCTCCCTGCTCCTGTTCAATTTCTGCCCTGAGTGCCTCCACTTGTTTCTGGTGGTTCCCTGGGCTGTGAGCAGATCCTTCTCAGGGGGATTTGCCTCTGAGCTCGTCCTGCTCTCCCCTTCACAGCCTGACCTCCATTTGCCAAAGCGGCAGAGGCAGGCAGTGAAACCCCCAAAGGGCCCAGCAGCACTGGCACAGGTGGAGCAGGGCCCGTGGGTTGTTTTGATGCCTGTTTCAGGTCGAGCCAGCCCCGTTTCTGCCCCTGAGCAGAGGAAGCAGCAGCGAGCAGGGGCTGGGGGTGGTGAAGGAGGGGAGGTGAAGCCCAGCAGCGCCAGGATGCGGTTTTGAGGCACAGCTGGGCTCGTTTGCCACAACAGGCCCTGCACCCTGAGCAGGGAGATGGTGAGAGACACACAGCACAGCACCAACCCCCAGCAGCTCCAAAACCACCCAGGGCCACGTTCTCACCTTCTGCAAGCCAGAGCTGCTGCACAGACGCCTGCTCAGCCCACCAGCAGGCTCTGGGTGTACAAGGCCTAAATTTTGCTTCCAAAACCCCCTAAATTTTGTTACACCCAGTGTTTCTACCATCATTTTTGGGTTACATCAACATACAAGTCTGCCCCAGTGTTCACCCCAGCCAGTGCCATCCCACACATTCCTTGTCTCAGCAGGATCAGCACCCCTGCAGTGGCAACAGCTCTGCCCCTGTGCTTACCTGCACCAGGGGAATGTTTCTTTGTCCTTCCAAGGCTGAGGTGATGCTGGCTGGCCCTGTCTGGGGTCTGTGTCCTGTTTTGGGGGCTCAGACCACATGAGCTGTGTCTACATGGGGCTGGGGAGTGGAGACCTGGCCTTGCCAGGGACCAAATCCCATCCCATGTGCACCTTCCAAGACACCAGATCCCTTCCCATGGGTGCCTTCCCCAGGACCTGGACACAACAGATGGAGCAGAGAGGCTGTGGGGCAGGCTCATCTTTAATGGCAGGAATGTAGAAGTGCAAGGAATGAGCACAGGGCTGCAAGCAGCCCATCCTGGAGGGATCTCCAAGCAAAACCAGCTCGTTGATGAAGGCAGTCTCAGAGGCTCAGAGTTTTCCCACTTCACTTGCGGGCACGGGTGGGAGCCAGCCGGCTGTACTGCTCATCCTCCCGCTCTCTGAGGGGCTGGGGGGAGGAAAAAAAGGGCAGATGAGCCAAAACTGTACCTGCTCAGCCCTGGGAGGGCGAGCTGGATCAGCCTTTGGCAAGATTCTCTCCACACTGAGATGCTGAAGGTGTCCCCACACACACACAAGGGTGCTGAAGGTGTCCCCACACACACAGGGGTGTCCCCACACTCACCTGGTAGAGCTCATTGGCGATCAGGTTCTGTCTGTCTGAAGCTGAAGGAAGAAAGAAGGTCAAGGTCAGGGATCAGGGGTGCCACGGGCAGTGTGGGGAACATTTACACACAAACCCAAGAGCTGGCTGCAGCCCCTGGGTGCCACACACAGCTCCCAGAGGTGCCAGGCCCAGCACTCAGGTCTCTCCCCCCCCTCACCTCGTGACGTGTGTCCCCTGTCGTGGCCAGTGATGCAGTACACGGCCACTGCCAGGAACAGCGTGGCCACGACGTCTGCGATGACGATGCCTGAGATGGTGGGAGCGTCCACCTCGATGCAGTTCTGGCACACTGGAAGCCCAAAAAGACGTGGACATTGAGGGCAGGGGCACACCCAGAGTGCTCAGCCAGCTCTGCCAGTCCAACAGAGAGCAGCTGGCTTTGCTGTGTGACCCAGGGCACTGGCACAAGCTGCCACGTGCCCCCACGCCCAGTGCAGGGCCACAGAAGCAAGTCAGGGCACTAAATAAGGCTGCAGAGCTGTCAGCACACACAGAGGAACCTGCATCAAACCGGTGGAGACACTCCCAGATGAGGGGAAATTCCCTCAGGACTCGGCTTGGGTGAAAACCCCGAGCAGTTCTGGCTCTGGAAAAGCAGATGTGCAACACTTACTGCGATAGTGCACCTGGAGGCTTTTCCTTTGGCCCCCCGTTTCACACACGTAGAGGCCTCTGGGGTCATCATAAACCGCGCTCAGGTCCAGCTGTGCTTCGTGCCCGACAGTGCTCCCATCTTTCCACCAGGTGATGTTTTTGTTGCCTTGGCCTCGCACACATTCCAGGAACACCTTCCCGCTGAATTCCTTCACGTATATCTGCCCTGTGGAAGGAGAAGAGAGCAGAGAGCCTCACCCCTGAGTTACTGACAGCAGTGCAGAGCTCAGAGCTCCTTCACGGGGATGAAGCATCACATCAGGCTGTCCCAAAAAAACTGGGCAAAGCAGGCTCCCCCATCCTTTGTTGCACTGGTTCCTTTTTCCCCATCGACATCCCAAACCTTTCCTGCTGGGAAACCTCATCCAGCCTTGGGGCTCCATCCCAGCACCCTCCCAGCACATCCAGGGACCAGGGCGAGCGTCCGGCCGCTGACCCCACACCTGCGGACTCACCTTGGACCCCCCAGCTGGCCACGGCCAGCCCGGCCAGCAGTGCCCAGGCACTCAGGACCTTTCCCCTCGTCATGGCACGGCGGTGCTGGCTCTGTCCCCGCTCGCAGGACGTGGGGAGAGCCGCTCACCACGCGGCACCGCCCGCCCGGGGCTGCGGCAGCCGCCGGATGCCGGGGGCTGATCCTCCCTCCCCGGCAGCCGGGGATGGATGGGGGGGCTCTGCGCCTGCCTGCTCACCCCAGCACAGCCCGACAGCCGTGGGAGGACAGGGAGGATGTGGTGGGCTGAGGTTCGGGTCCTCCAGCAGCCAGAGACCCTCTGCAGCCAGGGGCTTCCAGCAGCCACGGACCCGCAAGCGACAAGGACCGCCAGGTCCCTGCACAGCCACAGAACACAGCAGCATCCGCAGGTGTCCCGGCACCCATGGAGCCCCCCCGGCACCCATGGAGCTCCCCTCCCGGCATCCAGAGACCCTTGCAGCAGCTAGGGAGCTCCCAGAATTTCCATGCCCCCCTGCAGTCATTTGTCCCCCATAGCCACGGCCCCGGCACCCACTGTTGTCCTCTGCTAGCCATAAACCTTCAGCACCCACTGCTGCTGGGTCCCCGTGTCCCCAAACCCGCGGTCCCCGATCCAGCCCCAGTTCCGGCTGTCCCCCCGCAGCCTCGAACCCGGGTCCCCGCTCTTGCTCCGCGCCGCGGTCCCGTG